AAACGTATTTTTAAACTGAAATTGTAAGTAATTTCTATTAAAGATAATCACTAATATTAAAACGTCACAAGAAAATAACCTCAAAACATTACAAAGGAAATAATCGGAACTTAATATCTCTTATTCGTAGTTATTATCAAATAGAATATCCTTTAGACTGAAACAATTTGACACACCAAAACAGGCAGGATTTAAACAAGGTAGTAATACGCTTTAAATACTCTTTCACACAATAAGAGCAATCATCAAAATTATTTACACAATGACTTCCCCTCGTTTAGTCTACCCTTTCGAAATGAGTTGATTTCCCGAATCCTGGATAGAGAAACTGAAAGTAAACGAAAAAATTAAAAGGTATGTTTTTGAAATAAGAGTGAGAAACCGGTAAAGAAACCGGACAAATAATAACACAAGCGTGCAGGATTTAGAAAATTACATACTTACTTTAAAATAGAGATGAGCAGGACACAATCTTGCTGGAAGGGACAAAGAAATATGGAGCAAAGAAGTGAAAATCGGAGACCGAGAATAAGTGAGAAGGACTAAAAATGGGGAAACGAGTTGAACATCTGGAAATGGACCTAGAAATAGAAAAACAAACAGCAAAATAGGTAGGCATACAACAGCGGGAATATAACAACTGAATAGCTCCAATTAACGTTCATCGCATGAAAAAGTGAAGATCATACGCTGATAAGTCATATAATAAAGACATCGAATACTCCATAATGGACTATACATATAAAAAAAAAATATATGAAGAATTTAGCGTAATTACTCAGCTCAGTTGTAAAAATGGATTAAGAACTAGAGATGCACTATACTGTATGGAACTACCAAGAGATAACTACCCATTATAACCTATTAACCTAAGATCCCACTACAGGATCACTACGTTCATAACGTAGTTGATCAAACTCACATTTTTATATACATTTCAAATTAGGTGAGAGAAAACATTGATAAAATAGGTTTTCAGCCAAAAAGTGGCCGCAAATATTTTTAATTCAATTAATAGTAATTAATTTTTGATAAAAATTTTATTTTGTTCATTTATTTGTTAAATAAAATACGCTGCTCATGGCGTATACGCATGTTTTTTATATCAAATTAAAGTTCATTTCTTTCTTTATAATGATACTAATTTGCCTGAGAAAAATAGTTGAAAATTAGGATTGATAGTTATCTGAGGTTTTAAAGCATGCATCGATAAATATATAATACGTCGATAATTTTACTTTATCTTTAATACCTTGCATTTTTAACAGCTGGCAATCCTAATTTTTGACCATTTTTACTCAGGCAGCCTTATATCATCATATTAAGAAAGACATTAGCTTTAATTTGATAGTTGTTTGACTGGCAACCTATTATCAACGTATTCTTGTAATCTTAAATGTATGTAAAAACGTGAGTTTGATAATCTAGTAGTTCATAACGATCCTACAGTAAGATCTTGTACTAGATTAACATAATAAGAGTCATATTATTTATTATTTATTTAAGATTAACATAATAACAAAATATATAAAAATTAGTAACAATTAAATAGTAGGACAGTGTGAAGTAACTGTTAAAAACCAAACAAGGTAAGACAAGTAAGATGCGAAAACAATGCAGACAAATAATCCAATAAATATTACTATATTACACAGTTGATTGATTTCTTAAAAAATGGAGTGAATTTCTATATTGTTTCAATAAAATGGTTCGTGGAATTTTTACAAATTTAAATATTTGTGAGTTGGTGATTATTACCGCAATAAATTAATCCGTGAAATGGCACATGAACATAATTCCAAATCACCGTGGAGAATATAATTAAGCATTATGAGTAAACAGTAAGTATCAGATAAAAAAAGGTAAAAGCCCGGATCGTCCAAAACTGGTTTCTGATAAAAATATGAGAAGATATTAGTAATATTTTGCAAAAAAATCTAAGTTAAGTTACAGCTAAATGAAACTGGATTAAGTTTGTCAAGGAAATGCTGTGGCAAGTAGATGCATAAATCTGGATTAAAATTTTCTAAGGATGAATTACAGGTAACAATTTAAAAGTGTTTAAAACAAAAGCAAGCCAGACTCACGTGGGCAAAATTTAAACTTTCTTGGTCGATAAAAGTGGTCCCGAGTAATTTTTAGTGACATATCCAAATTCGACGTATGAGAATTATATTTTTTAACAGTACGAAACGGCCTGTCATACGACAGGAACCACCCACCTTAAGCCAAAATATAGCAGATTAGGATTGTAGAGTGCAGATCCCTAGTCGAGTCAATGTTCAACTGAATTCGAGCGGTAAAGGGTCTAAGGGCGATGCTATTGCATTTTAAAAATAAATATTCATTTTATGTCCCAATATTTAGTTGTCAACATAATAAATTTTTTTGTTGCTGATTGTATCTCTATTATTGGTAATTAACTAATTACATAGTATTACATTAAAAGTATTAGTAAAAAAACAGTTAACTATCTGAATTATACATATATGTATTTTAGTTTGGTTCAATATATAGTTGTTGACATTGTTCCATGTAGCATAAGATTTCTATCCAAGAGGTACTTGCTTTTTCTGAATGCCGTCTAGGGGAGACTAGGGAGTAGCACACTTGTCATTGACGACCTGTCAAACGTACCAAGTGTAATAATTTACATTTGTGATCAGCAGTTTATCTATCGGGAATTACAGGGTACAGAATATTTGTATAACCTAATGCTTACTGGAAATATGGCGCCCTAAATTGTAACTAACGTGTCACATTCATCTGTTTAAAACTTCGTAGGAGAACTGGTTCTACCAGAAAAGGATAGTATTGTATTGGTGCGAAACGTTAGAAGTGAAACCAGGCAATGGCTACTTCTGGGGTAACCTAGTTCTAACACTCTCTAAGACTATACTACATGGGGCGGTTTCGTTGAAATGGACGCATATTGACACGGTCCCTTGAGTGGGCCTGGACGTTGGTAAGTCCTTGATTTACACTAACCAATGGATGCCGTCTCCGGTGCAAGAGATTTTTATCAACCGGAGAAAGGTGCGGCAGGTCTGCTTCCAGGTCAGAATATCGCGTGGTGTATAAGATTCTTAGTAGCTCTCGGAAATGCAATTCAAGACGTTATACAACCTTGCCAATATCTGCCGCCATGGTCCTTAATTGCGTGACTGGCAACCGGTATATTCTGTTGATGATGGAATGACGGATTTTCCAGCAAGTTGAGACAGTGGTCGAATCAAAATTATCAGGTATCGGTATCTTCCTTTGAAGACTCTATTATCCGGATTGAAAACCCCCTTAAGAATTAAGAAATTTTTGAGAAAAGTAGTTACAACCAATAATATTAGATGTTTGTTTCTACAGACATTCAACCTCAGCTATTATCCGAGTGGAAATGCCAGGACCTTCAAGATCTTTTAACCAAAATGAACAACATGAGCAAACATTATAGCCAAAATCAAACAGATAACCATAAGCAGATAATACAAATCTAACCCAATTTTAACTATTAATAGACAATGAGCCTATAGAGAGAGTTATTAATTTCTTAGGCTGTATCCTGAATAACAAATAAGAACCTAGATGCGGAAATATTGATCCTAATATCAATAGTGAGAAATTAATTCCTTAAATATAGCAAAAACCTTTGTTAAAGAGGGACTTCTTGTGACTTGCAATTGTGTATGAACTATAATCTAAAACATTAGAAATGCATGGGGGTATGGGAAAATGGAAAATTCTGACATAATGTTTCTTTACTGTAACTTATTCACTAAAAATTGTCTAATGTAAGAATTCACTCTATAAAATATAATGTATTGCGGTAACCATAACTCCTAAATAAATTAAAAACAAACAAATGTCAATTAGATATGTTAGCAAAATTTAAATTTCCTACAGACATTGCTGATACTAAAAAACAATATTTAACACAGTATGGTCAAAAAAAAATTTGAAGTATATATATATATATATATATATATTATATATATATATATATATATATACCCCGGAGCTAAAGTACACTATGTCCATTTTTGTCAAAATTGGGATTATTGCACTTTTAAATGTAACTTTTCTGGCTCTACACAGAGATAAACCATACTATATCTTGAGACAATTTTACGACAAGTTACCGACTTTTTAATAAACACCAAGTCCACTTCCAGTCAGAGGTAAACAACACCATGTGGACTTGGTGTGGTTTACCTCTACTAAATGTGTGCACTGTTATTTACCATCCGGACATAGTGTTATGTACTCTGGTACCTGGTGGAATTGTCATCAACTAAAATAATTGTAACCATTTTATTTGTTCGAAGTGTTAGATTGTTAAAAGTTTTACAATACATCATATAATATTCCTAATCAAACAACACCCACAGGTAAGCTATTGTTTAATAACACTGATTTTGTATTTTGCCAACCTCAAATATTTAGTATTGTATACTCTTTTGACGGATGGATCTTGACAAAGATGATAATTTTTTGAAGACGATGATGCGGATATTGATAAAACCTATGAGCCTCTAAGTGGTGAAAGCGCGGAATCAGACGACAATGATGTGAGACGTATAGGTAAACCAGCGAAAACAAAGGTAAAAGAGAAAGGTATTACTACTCCTACGACTAGTGGGGCAATAAAAAAAATGTTCTTAAGGACGATTTATCCCTAAGCAGTGATGCAGGCAATTTCAATTAACATAATGAAGTTATCATGAAATGCTCCGAAATATTGATAAAAATTATCAGAATACGAAAGACAAAAAATCTTCAACTCATACTGGACTGAGACAAACGTTTCAGATGTTAAAAAGCAATTTATCTTCTCATGTGTCGACATTCAACCTACTCTTTGATCAAGAAAAAGAGACACAAACTCTGCCAAATCTAAAAATAATACACTACACTACAATCTTACAGTAAAGAGTCAGCGATTGACGGTGTGCAAGGTTATGTTTTTTAACACACTTTGTATATCTAATTTAAGTGTAGTAGTGAATATGTTTAAAAAAATTGAGCCAGAAAGTTTAATAAAAGCTGATCAAAGAGGTAAACACACGCCAATCAATAAAACTCCTACCGAAACCGTAAATAGTATACATCAACATATCAAATCTTTTCCAAAGTACGAGAGTCATTATTCCAGAGAAGGTGCAAGAAAAATTATCTGGGCACAGAACTTACAATAAACAGATGTATTAACTGTCCATTGATAAATGCAATGAAAGACATGTGGATCCAAAGATAAGAGCAAAAAGTGGCTATACGCAATATTTTTATTAAATACTTCAAGTTGTTGTTTAAACCACCCGAAATAGACACTTGCGATACATGCAGTACATTCAAATCTCAATTGATAAGAATCTTACTACAGATGAACTAACCAGTGTACAGGCTGATCATGATGCTGACCTAATTGAATCTAAAACTCGGTATAACTTAAAACAATTGGACTTTATAATGGCTAAAGAGTCACCAAAACACAAAGTACTATCTGGTGATTTCGACATTAAATTTTACATTATATGATGCCAGTGATTCTTCTGTACAATGTATAATATGTAACGAATCGAAAGGGGCCCGTGGTGCAAATGAAATTGCCTCGTCAATTTTGAAATGGGCTGACAATACAATTCCAGATAGTCAAGTAGAGGACATCACTCTTTGGACTGATAACTGCTATGGACAAAATAAAAATATAAGTATTATAATGTGCTATTTTTGGATACTTCATACGTACCCTCAAATAATGACGATCACTTAAAAGTTTTTACTGAAAGGGCACACACATATGGAAGCAGACAGTGTTCATGCTTTGATCGAGAGAAAAAGAGAAAAAGAAAGGAAACTCTCCAATTTGGCCATTTTAACACCATGGGACTGGCAACAGCTAGTTAGGCAAACATCAGGTAAATACACAGTGCACAATATGGAACTTGCAGATTTCAAAAACTTCAAAACGTGGTTCGATAATAAACTGTCACCTAATCCTCCTTTTGTAAGTAGAAAAAATAAATGTTAACAAAGAGCCTGTTCTACTGTCAACATGTGGTTTTCTACAAGTCCAACAAGAATACATTGGAAAGGTCTTTTATAAGACCAATTTCAATATTCAAAATTTGTATGAGGTGGACTTTATGAGGTATCGAAGATAGCAAGTAACGTTTCCAACCCAATTAAATCAAGTCTCAGTAATCCCATTACCAATCACAAAACAAAAAATACAATGACTTAATTGCACTATTGCCTTTTGTTCCGTCGGCTTGTCATGGGTTTTATCAAAATCTATTACAGCAATGTATACTCTAATAAAATAATAGTATAGGCTGTTTAATGTGTTTATCTTGTTTATTTCGTAGAGACCTTAACATGTAATGTCACATTATTTAAAAAAGTTGTTAGAGGTAAACAACACTATGTCCAACTACATATTTACTGCCTCAAAAATTTCGTAATTCTTAAGGGCTTTTCAACCCGGATAATAGAGTCTTCAAAGGAAGATACCGATACCTGATCATTTTGATTCGACCACTGTCTCAACTTACTGGCAAACCCGTCATTCCATCATCAACAGACTATACCGGTTGCCAGTCACGCAATTAAGGACCATGGCGGCAGATATTGGCAAGGTTGTATAATGTCTTGAATTGCATTTCCGAGAGCAACTAAGAATCTTATACACCACGCGATATTCTGACCTGGAAGCAGATTGATTATTTACTGATTACAAATTTAAAAAATTACAAATTTCAGCGGGTTAGTACAATTAAACCTAGAGCTAAGATATATATATATATATATATATATATATATATATATATATATATATATATATATATATATATATATATATATATATATAACAAGCGAGTCTTCTACAGCTGGCGCCGCTTCTCGCATCCTAATTTCCAGCGTTTTCTGTCGAAGCAATCTTCAGTTGTTAGATCTCTGGCGGTCATTGCATCGTCGACATCGTCTCTCCAGGATCGTCTTGGTCTACCTCGTTTTCTTCTAGTTGGCGGAGTCCATTGTTCTATTTTTTTTGGCCATCTATTTTCCGGCATTCTCTGAAGGTGTCCATACCAGTTAAGTCTTTTGGCTTCGATGGTGTCTATTATATCTACATCGATTTCCATTTCTCTCCGAATATCTTCGTTTCTCACCCTATCAAGCTAAGATTAATGCTATTATAAAAATTAACATTAAACTCATCAGTCTTTCGGGTTAAACCGCGTTGATTTTTATTGCGCCGAGTTTTCGACATCCTCTTTGATGTCTTCTTCAGAGCTTCCGATATCTCAGAACTCCCAGACACTACTACACTGATAAATAATCAGTAGTAGTGAAGTGATAAGCTTTTTATAACTGCCCTAGAACGTGCTTTTAAAACCTTGCTAGCTTGATAAAACATTGCTTTAAAACTAAGAGTAGCACAAAGAAGGATGAAGCGTTCAATGATAGGACTAACAATAACTAACAAGATCACAAACAAAAGCCTAAGAAAAAGAGGCAGAGTTACAGATATTGTGGAGAGAACTTGCAGATTGAAATGGAGATGGTCTGGCCACGTGACAAGGATATAGGTTAGAAGGTGGACACACAAGTTAACCAAATGGAGACCAAGGACAAATAAACGAAACAGAGGAGAACCACCTACACGATGGCAAGATGATCTGAAAAGATGACGAAAAATTGAATCCATACTGCACAAGACCGTGTACTCTGGATACAAACAGGTCCAATTCCTGCAGTGGACTTAAAACAGGGTGATGATGATGATATGTATGACGCTTTCAAATATGCTGTCAAGTAAAAAAATAGCAAAGAACGCAATGAGAAGACAAAACAGACAACATTGTTAAAAAGAAATTAGAGGAAAAGATATTGAAACGAAATGTTCATGTAAAGAGAATAGTGTTAGCAGATGGGTTACAAATTTATAGAATGGAGCTCCGTAGGTAGAGGTAAAGCAGATCGACCTAGAAGATCCTGTAGAAACGAAAACACGAAGCCATGCTAAAACGGGACGCTAAAAAGAAAATCATAGACTGTTGGAATATCTTCTTTATACGGAGACTATGCCGAAAACAATGATTGAAATCATGAGTTTTATTAATTACTATTTATAACTGGGAATAAGCCACATTAAAGATAAAAATACATTTATTGACGTTTCAATTTCCAATTCGGAAATCGTTCTCAAAATACAAATAGTAAATTAAACAAATTTTGTTTTTTGTTACATAGTGAAAAAATTCTTCTGATAATTTAATTTTATCTGACTCATTTATATTGACAATTCAGACATTCATTATGCATTTTAAAGTAGACGACTTTAAAATGATATTGCCAATATTGTTGAGTTGCGCTCCTGGGACGACTTTACTTATAAGATAGTTCATTCGATTACATGAAATCAACTTTAACTTGAGAATATCCGTCAGAAAAAATCATAGCATGTAATTCGTCTTTAAAAAGACAAACACATGACATGATGACAGTAAAATTCTCCTGTTAGTGATTCCATAGTAAATTATGAGGGAAAAACCAGGAAAAAAAACCTCATAATACTATCCCGACATTGTAAGTATTTGTTCGTGAATTTAGTTTACCTTCAACAAACATCAAAATTCTGATTTTTATGTTACGTTATTTAAAAAACATAAATGATGTATCCTCTATATGTTACTGACTTACTAATACTGGTATTTTCTTATTAATAACTTCCTCTTTCAATATTGGTAACCAGATCCTACTACATTCTGCCGAGGAATTTGCGACACAATTGGCCTCATTTAGCATAATTAGAGCCGCTTCTTTGATTTTTCTTTTTTTACCATCCGTTTCTTTTAGGACTATATTTGAATTATTCCATTGAACTCTATGTTCATTATCCCATGCGTGTTTACATATTTGAGATCTATCAAATTCTCTATTTTTAATATAAGATTGATGTTCACTTATTCTAACATTTAATGGCCTTGATGATTCACCTAAATAAAACTGATCGCATTCACAAGGTATTTTATAAAATGCAATTCTTTGTCCTTTCTTGTTCATTGTTAGGTTTGGTTTTGGACAAAATAGATCTCAACGTGTTTGTTGTTTTGAATGTTGTTGAAATGTTGAATTTATTTCCTATCCTTTTAAGTTTTTCTGATAATCCTTTTATGTACGGTATTGTTATTTTCCTCATATTATTCCTTGTGTATGCTGTAGGATCTCGTTCTAAGTTGTTCTGTTCTATTCGATCGATTGTTGAAAATTCCCTATTTATAAACGATAAAGGATAATCATTTTTTAATAAAAATAAATTCATATATTTTTATTAAAAACATATTAATTTTTAAAGTCGTCTACTTTAAAATGCATAATGAATGTCTGAATTGTCAATATAAATGAGTCAGATAAAATTAAATTATCAGAAGAATTTTTTCACTATGTAACAAAAAACAAAATTTGTTTAATTTACTATTTGTATTTTGAGAACGATTTCCGAATTGGAAATTGAAACGTCAATAAATGTATTTTTATCTTTAATGTGGCTTATTCCCAGTTATAAATAGTAATTAATTTACAATGCCACAAGAAAATAGCTTCAGAACAATATATGAGTTTTATTGAAATCAACAAATATGAATATCTTAATTGAATCACTCAATTTAACCGTTTAGGAATCTATCCCCTAGCTTATATTTACATACTTTATAAAGATTCCAACAGCAGTAAATATCCCAACTAAAAAAATCTTGTAATGTACGACTTGGATCGATACAATAAAACAGTTATTGATAGTGAAAATTATGAAATTAATATGTTGCAAATAGATTACTTGATTTCTCCAATACCAACGTCACTCCAACACCCACATTGTTTCCAAAATACAAAAATGTATAAAATCAGTAAAATCACCATATTTCATGACCTTGTGTGTCCGAATACTATAGTCAAATATAAATAGTGAACAAATATAAATTAGCTGAAACTGAACACCAAAATTGATTGCGACTATTTTAAATAGAAATTTAATCAAGTTACAGGACAAAGAA